ACCGCTTGGAGAGATCTACCCCAAGGCAAAGCTGGTGGCGGTTGACTGGGAAGAGATCTGTGAGATATGGCTCACAGAAAAGTCAGCCGACCGTGAAACCATCCTGACGATGCTTAGGATGTGCAATCCGACGCTTTGGGGGCGTCGGAGTATAGGCTCTGAAAAGCCGATACAACAGGTAAAATGCGAACCTGAATCCTCGCAAAAAAGAACGTTAACCTCTTTTTGTACCTAATTTCAGTAATGAAGACCACCTAGCCGCAGCCATAGAGAGCCCAAAGGGTGCCATAAGGGTATGTTCGGCGTATATGGGCCACAACCAGGAAGCCCTCCTCCCGCACCCGCTGGTGCGCCACCCGCAGCTGGTGAAAGACAGCGGGAAGAATTAGAACGACCTGATCATAGGTTACGATGCCCACGCCCATCATCACCGGGGGGGGAAGCACTGACACGAAGTAAGGGGTAAGGGTAGGGGTAAGTCAATCTTCGATTTTATCCTAGGCTCAAATTTTCTGGTGGGTAATGGGTCACAGAACCCACCTTCATAGACAAGAACAGAAGGGATGTACTGGACATTACTCTCTACTCCGACTCCCTAGCTGATAGGATTGTTAAATGGGGAGTCCTAGAGAAACACTCTTTCTCGGACCATCGATACATAGAATTAGTTGGCAATTTCGAGAACCTTAATCGACTAACAGTACGCAACCCGAGAAAACCAAACTGGGAGTTATATAAGGAAAAATTAGAAAGATCCTTTTTAAAACCTCCAACAAGGGGCCTTGACAGCAGGGAAGTCCTCTGGAAGGTAGCTGGACCACGTCCAATAAAGAAACCCTAGAGGCTCTCACAAATGTACATTTCCATGGGTGCTCTCAAGAAGAAACCACCCCTCCCTCCCAAACCCTTTTGATTTATAGGTATCTTAACTTGACGATAAACAGCTTCAAGCCATTCAAATCCCCAGGCCCAGATGGCATTTTCCAGGCACAATTAGTCAAAACCGGATCGGCCGGATTTAAGGTCATGGGCTCGGAAAGCTTTCTCAGCCATTTTAAGAATAGACATCGTACCCGCGACGTGGTTGCGGACGAAGGTTTTATTCAAACCCATAGCGGGAAAACCATCACACTGCACCCCTAAGGACTGCAAACCTGTCGTCCTTCCTCCTCAAGACAATGGATTGACTATTGACTAATCAGCCTCCACATTAATCTTGCAATTAACCTAGATGATATCTCGGGATCACAGCATGCGTATAAGAAGGGTCGATCCACGGAGACGGCACTCAATTGCTTTCTCTGGAAAATTTCCCCAGTCTCCATGCGACCGCATGACGGACAAACTTAGGGCTCTCTTAACATGGGTAGTTAGGAACGTACTAGGTGTAAACCCATCCAAAACCGAGCTTGTCCTCTTCACAAGGAAGTACAAAATACCAAATTTAAGGCTTCCAAAACTATCAGGGGAAACACTTTCCCTCAGCGGTAGCGCTAAGTACATAGGGATAACGCTAGACAGGAAACTGGACTGGAAGTAAAAGACTAAGGATAGAGCAAACAAGGCAACAATCGTGCTCTATACATGTCGAAAGGACATTGGACTCAAATGGGGAATAATGTCCCCAAAGATAGTCAGATGGCTTTACACAGCTGTCATAAGACCCATTCTTTTCTACGGGGTGGTGGTCTGGTGGCCTGCTCTAACAAACTCCACATGTAGAGAGATTTAGGAAAACGCAAAGGATGGCGGAGGTCTGCATTACAGGCAGCCTACGTACCATACCGACAGACGTCCTCGACTTCATACTCGACCTATTACCTGTACAGATAGTGGGGGACAAAATAGCCACGCTATAGGCAATTAGGCTACGCGAGACGCGTCTATGGAAAACGACCGACTATGGACATACCAAGTTTGACCTACACCACTTCACGCCAACGGGGGCTTCAGACTACTGTATACCTAATGATCATCCCACCTTACCAACGATGGAGAAATGGGCCACACAAATCCCGGGACCAGCCGGTTCCCTTCATATTTACACAGACGGTTCCAAATTTAATGGCCAGGTGGGAGGCGGTTTCCATTGCGAACGGCTGTGTCTAAATGAGTCCTTCAGACTCCCCGACCACTGTAGTGTGTTTCAAGCAGAAGTGTGTTTCAAGCACTTACTGGCAATCAAGAAACAATCTGTATCTTCTCAGACAGTCAAGCGGCACTCAAAGCCCTTTTCCAGGACAGTAAATGACTGCCGCAGATCTCTTAACGAGATGGCAGAGCAGTATGACATCCACCTCAAATGGGTGCCCGGACATAGGGAGCACGAGGGTAATTGCGCCGCTGACGAACTAGCAAGAGCAGGTACTACCAATCCTCTCCTCTCGTAAAAGGAACCAGTAGGCATCCCCTTAGCTACGTGTAGGATAAAATGCAGGGATCACTTTGACCGCCCATCACTGAGAAAATGGAGACATCTCCAAAACTGCAAGAATTCACGCATGATATGGCCTATCCGCTCTAGGAAGAGATCAATGATGCTTATCGCCCTTAATAGGCAGGACTGTAGTCTGGCAGTCAAGGCCATCACGGGACACTGGGGATGTAGAAGAGGAAGAGACAGTCGCACACCTCCTGTGTCATTGACCTGCGCAGAGACGAAAATTTTTATTTTTGATTTTGTTTGTCTTTTCAAAATGATATATTCCCAAAAAGACCAAACGAAACAGAACCTGGCAAGAAACAAAAGTTCTTGCCAGAACACGCTGTAAAAATAAGCTGCCATCACGGCATATCGCCTGGCCGAGTTAGACAGCCCTAAAAAGCGATTTTTTGGTATTGGTCGTGGCGTCGCAGGCGGGATCCGCTGGGAACCCGTATAAATCCCCCAGCGAGAAAATTTCGGTGCGAAGACATATTTTCTTTGTGGACACTTTTTTCCTTCTAGATTTTGTCCAAGATGCCCAGGTTCCGGCGGATGCTTTCGTTGCGAACATGGTGAAGCAGTGACAGTTCATAAGATTTTTGATTTTGCGCGCTGTATGATGTCTATGAAGCTGCTGCTGCGTTGTTTCACGCATTTTCTCACTGCCTTATCTCCAGATTGGCTCTCGGACTGAATTGTAGAGTAGGATCTTGTAGTCCAGGCACAGTGGCGATCGTGAGTTTATGATACAGTGGAGGCTGCTAGCTTTTAGTTTTAGGTGCAATTTCATGCATTCTTTTTCTTGCCAGGCTAATCGTCTATCGAGGTAGACGCCAATGTACGTTACTTTGTTAGCTTGGGGGATGGATGTGCATACCGTTTAGTACAAGCAGATGGCATATTTGTCCATTAAGAGTAAACGTTACATGTTTATACTTTTGTTCAAATATTTTAATGCACCAGTCGTACAGTTTGCTGCTTGGTTGGGCAGTTTGTTGGCGACGAAGAACAGCGGTATCTTCGGCGAACGTTGACTTTGATATTATTTCGTTCGGAGGAATCACAGCAGTATACAAAACATATAGACAAGGTCCGAGTGCGCTTCCTTGTGGAACTCCAGCTTCGATGTAGTCTCCGAAAGTTGCTGAGTTGAATTCCACTGAGAATAACCTATTGTAAAGATACGACTCAAGAAGCTTTAAATATATTTTGGCAAATGCTTTTTAATTTTGTGCATGACTCTCTTAAGCCAAACTCGGTCAAATGTTGAGATACGCCGTATTTCAGAACATACTTCTGTTTACTTGCTTGATGGTTCCATGGTTTCTTCAAAAGCCAAATTGGTGCGCCGGGATAATATTGCAAACTTCCACTATTATGCGTTAGGAAGCTTTTTTCAAAAGATTTTGACAACCAAGATGTAAGGCTTATTTGCATTGTACCAATGACCAAACAGTAATCATTATTATAATGGATCTCTTCCACCTTTTTGGGTAACAGCCAAGATTACAGATACGATTGACCGTTTTGGCACTTATTAGATTGAAAGGTATGTTTTTTGTCACCGCAAATTAATAAAATCTAGGAGCTTACGCGGGTCTGTTGGCTAGTAAGTGGGGCTTCCAGGGAAAACATAGTCCAGTTTATTTCCCATATTTATAACTATACCCTAATAATTTTGTCCAAAAGTGTGCAACGCAGTGAAGGAGACATCTCCTACCCTATAAAGTATATATACTCTTGATCAAGATCACCTCCTGAGTTGATATGAGCCTGTCCGTCTGTCCGTCTATCTGTCTGTCAGTTTCTACGCGAACTAGTCTCTCAGTTTTAAAGCTATCGACTGGAAACTTTGCACACACCCTTCATTCCTTCTTTCTTCCTTCTTTGCACGCAGTATATAAGTCGGAACGACCAGGATCGGCCGACTGCCATATAACTGATTCATCGAAAATGCTGTAACTTTGTAACATGAAAGCTATTTTTAAATAATAATATACATGCCAATATAACGACATGCCAAATTTCGTAAGGATCGGCCGACTATATCCTATAGCTGCCATATAACTGAACGATCGGAAATGACCCAATTTTCGTGTTTTTAAAGGTAGAAAGCTGGAACTTAGTACAGATTCTATTTTTGATCAGTTGATCCAACCTACCAATTTCATAACGATCGGCCGACTATATCTTATAGATGCCATATAACTGAACGATCGGAAATGGTTTTTGGTAGAAATACCAACTTTGGTGTTTTTGAAGATAGAAGATAGGAATTTAGGAATTTAGCTTCAAAAAATGGTAGTGAATCGGCGCTTCATGAAACTGGCATGCTGGCAAGGCAAAATTAACTAGCAACGTTATTTGATAAATGTGTATAATTGGCAGCGACTGTCAGGACTTGGCACGAGTAGGGTATTGTCCTGTACTCCTTTGCTATTAGTTCGACATATGCCCGGCATTCTTGTCCTTCTAGTAGTCCTTAATTTGATAATTTGATTTAAAAAAACTGTTTATTTATAAATTTAATTATTTCATTGTATTATAAATTGGTTTTGCTTAATTGGTAACTTACCAAAACGTCCTGTCCGGCCTATTCGATGTAGATAAGTTTCACAATCAGCATTTCCACGTACATCTACTGGCAAGTCGAAGTTAACGACAATTGTAACTTGCTCAATGTCAATACCTTAAAAAAATATATGTTGTTTTTTTATTAGGTAAAAAGCCTTATAATGAAGCGTACCTCTTGATAAGACGTTTGTAGTTATTAGAACTTTTTCAAGCCCAGAACGAAATCGATCTAAAACAGCTAGTCTTTGCTCAACTGTTAAATCACCCGATAAAACAGCCACAGAATGTCCATCGGAAGTCATTTTTGCTGCAAGCCAAGCGGCAGTTCTTCGAGTCTATAACATTAAAAAGAAAGAATATTTACATAAAGGCTTTCTTAAAGTCAATTATAAAAAATATTGAAGAACGGACCAATTAATTGGTAACTAATTAACCGTAACTAATTTTTTTGGACTCAATTTATTAAATTTATTGAACGCTGGCCTGTAATGGAACCATTTTAAGTGCGTCAAATGTGGTGTCACTGGTTATTAGTCACAAATTATATTCGTTGTTAAGAGGAGCCCCAAAATAAAGATCGTACTCCAATGAGTTCCGTTTCAAAACTGATTTTATTCTGTACAATTCTCTTATAAGTAAGATACATGAAAATCTTAAACCTATTTAAAACTACTTATCAACGCACTGCACGTTGACATGCTATGCGACCCTTTCTCAAGTGCGATAAGCGGATGCGTTTATGTTTGTGTTATTTATGATGCTTATGTTTGTGTTATTTATGTTAGGCTGCAGGGGATCGTTTTTAGACCATGCTGTTTGTCTTTTATTTCATGGGTCCGATCCCTTGAAACTCTAACTTACGAATTTGTATATAAAATAGTGTTCAATGCTTGAACATTCTGGAAAGGGCCACAAAAAAGTGTGTGTTGTTTTAGATTAACATTTTATTTATGAATATGTGTATTTTTGGTTTTCACATTTATAAATTTTATTTCCTCGGTACTAGAAAATTATTATAATTGGTCGATAACAAAATGTAGTGGACTGTATGTACATATATTTTATTTTGAATTGCAATTTTCCAAATATTTAATTTCATGTTCAACCTTATGCTTGAACATCCTGCGAGGGGCCAAAAATGTGCCTTTGTTATATTTTAGTGTGTATTCAAAATGTAATTTGAAATATTTATGTTTTCTTCGATTTTAGTGGACTGTAATTTTTATATTCATTTTAATTTTTGTAATTACCTTCTACAAAAGGATACAGAAATTAGGTTCTTGTTTTTTACAAACTTTCTTCTTTTTTTAGTGTAAATAATTTTAATTCTTTTTTAATATTTGGCATTGGGGATGGTAATGCTATATTCAACAATTGTCTTTTTGACTTTAGTTTTCTTATATAATCAATACAGTAATGATTATTATTACAAAAATAAGGAGCTATGACCTGACAAATGATGAAAATCGACATTTTTTTTTAATTCAAAATTCTTTGCTTTTATATCTTCTGTTTGTTTGGCCAGGTGAGCTATTTTCGAGGTTTGAGGTTTGATTTTTATCTATTTCGTGTTGGCTATTTTTCTTTTTGTTTCTACTATTGAAAATAGATAATTTTTTATCTAACTCCTTCATACATGAATTAGGTAAATTGTTTAACCATTTGATATTACGGAATTGAAATTTTTTACTATTATTTTTGTCCCTTTCTTCCTGAAATATTTTATGTTTCCCCAAAGGACACCACGATAAATTACAGATTTTGTATTTTGGTCGGACAACTTCAAATTCTTTTTTATTTTTAAACTCTTTTTTACCCTTGTATTTTTGTATCGAAGGTTCCACATATTTTCCTCTTTCTATCCTCCAATCTTGGATTGTATTTACCAAGACTGTAGAAATAATCGACTTTTTAATGGAATTAGATCTTGTGCGACCTGACACGATCCATCCGAAAATCGTTTTTTGTCCGAGAAGTAAACCTCTTTTTACTATTTTCGGCATAATAATTTGTGGATATAAATCTGCACCAATTATCAGATCAATTTGGCCAGGTTTATCGAAATTGGGATCGGCTAAATAATAGCCTTTCCAATCAAATTTATTTACATTTACATTATTTGTGGGAAGAGTTTGTTTTAAACTTGGTATAATAATTGCATTTGTGCTAAATTCTTTTGAATATTTACAATTTTTCTTGAATGTCAATTTTAGTTTGTGATTTGTAACACAGGAACCATTTGGTGATACTCCACTTATTTGTGTGGAAGATTTTATTTTCGGCAATTTTAATTTTTGAGCTGCCTTTTTAGAAATTAAAGTGCTTTGTGACCCATTGTCAATCAAAGCTCTGAATTTTTTAAATTCACCATCTTGACCTTTTATTTGGACATAAGCGGTGGCCAACAACACTTGTTCAGAGGTCATGCACGTATTCACTATTGCCTTGTTTATGTGAATCATGCTATGGTGATTATTTTGACAATACGAGCACACTAGCTCGCTTGTACATTTGATGTTTGAACTGTGCTTTAAACATAGGTAGCACCAGTTCCATTTTTTAACAACGTCCCTTCTTTCCTGTGGACTTAAAGCTTTAAATTTGTAACAATAAACTAATTGATGCCCGGGCATTTGGCACATCGGGCATGTTTGGTCACTTGTGTAAATATTTTTTATTATTTTTTTTGTTGGGAACTCATTTCCCACTGATGTCATCCTTTAAATTTTGAATTTCACTTGATTTTTTAACTTGGCCCTCATACTGTTTTAGAGCCTCAATATTTAATTTTTTTAAAATAATATGCGCAAAAATGCAATCTGATTCTTCTGTCAGATTTGCTTTTAGGCGCATTATATAAACTTATTCATTGATTGAATCAATTGTATTTTTAAGGTGCCTAATGAGTCCAAATTTATTTTTGGAAGCTCAATGAGGCGATTAAGCTGATCTGAGAATATTTTCCTATTATTCTCATATCGCTTGATGAGTCATTCCCAGGCAGCATTGTAATTATTGCCTGAGCCCAGCAATAAATGGGAAACCACATTCCGTGCTTCCCCTTTTAGAGCACTTTTAAGGTAGCTTAGCTTCAAGGATGGACTTAAATCCGTTCTTGAATGAACCAGCTCCCTAAATAACTCATAAAAATGGTCCCAATCTTTGGAATTTCCAGAGAAATTGGGGACCTCAATTTTTGGTAGGCTAGGTAGTTCGTCCATTCTAGGGCAACCACCTTCTACCTTGTTAGTTTTCTCTTGGATTTTATTATCCATTAGCTCGATGTGTATTTCAACATCCTCTTTGAGCTCTATAATTTTGCTCATATATTTATTATTGAGCCCTTCAATATTTAGTAAATCGGACACTGTATCGATTTTACTAAGAAACATTCTTAATTTTTTAATTCTTATAGGAAAGGTTTCATTTTTCCTTTCCTGAATCTCCACATAAGTTATCTCGAGGTAATCCTCGAGGTTCTTTATAGCCCCCTCAAGCCTCAAAAAAAGCTCATCCTGGCCAATATATTTTTTAATTTTGTTGCTGGCGGACCTAATATTTGATAGCATGCTTTCGAAGTGATTTTTTAAGAAATAGTCATGCTCTACAGGACCGAGTTGAACCAAATGATTATAGTTCGTAAAGGCTTTTAGCTCCAAATTTTTTAATGCCTTCCTATCCTCTTCTGAATATGAATTTTTTGCGAGAAGCGCATCTATTTGCCGGGTGAGGCGCACCTGGTCTTCGATAATTGGAATTTTATCCTTAGTCGACATTATATGTTATTTTAAATTAAATTAAGTTCTAAAACACAATTTAAAAAATAAAAACGAAACTTGCCGAGGACTATTTTCTAATTATTGCTGCTGATGTTGTGTTGCCGTTGCCGCTGCTGCTCCTGATGTTGTTGCTGTTGCCGCTGCTGCTCGTGATATTGTTGCTGTTGCCGCTGCTGCTCCTGATGGGTTGCCTTTCTCGATGTCGCAGTTACTATTGTTGTGTTACTATTGTTTTTGTATGTTTTTTGTGGACGTTTTTTAGTTTGATTTTTGTGGATGTTTTTTTTTTTAACTTTTTAACTTTAACGGTTGTTGGTGTTGGTTTGTTTATTTTTGGTGTATGTTTGTTGTTATTATTTTGGCGGATGTTGCTTGGGAGTTTTATTTTATTTTTTCCACACTCACTGTGTACAAAGTTTATACACTTTATATAAACAATTTTTTTTTTTGTAACTTTTAATTTCTCCGATGTAGGGCCTCGGATACGCCAACACAAATATATATAATTTTTATATAATTTTTTATTCCGAAGTTGTTCCGGGATATACACACACTTTTCGAAAAAATTTTTGGCATTTATATTATTTTATACCCTGTGTTCCTTACCTCTTGGGGGGAAACAACAGGGGACTACGGTTTTTAAAGATTGAATCTATATATCTTTTGATCCGTTGAAGCCAGATCCAATATATATGTATATATATGATCTACACATCAATACCTTTCAGATGGCGGATGTTAATGTTCTTGAAATTAAATAATCAATCTTTATTTTCAATTTTTAAAATAAAAATTATCGAATAATTTTTATTTTCTAATTTATATAATAAAAATTGAAAATAAAAGTTATTGCGTAATTTTTATATACAAATTGATACTTAATAATTATTACTACATTTTTATTATTAAAAATAATTTTAATTATTAAAAATCAGTTTTTTTCGTAAAAATTGAGAAATAACTTTTATTTTGTAATTTTTTGCTTTTTTAGTTATAACCGTTACAGTCCCTGCTTTTAACAGATTACAAAGTGCGACAAAAAAAAAGAAAAATTGAAGGAACTTTTGAAGAGACCTAGTATGAATTGATCATTAGGTCGAGTATAGTATAAAACCGTGTTTGAAATTTTTCTAACACCCTCAAAATCTTGATTTATTTCGAAAAAACGTTTTTTCAGAACTTTTTTGCTCCTAAAAATTCCTAAGCGCGTAATTTTAAACCGATTTTAAAATTTTAGACGTTTTTTAATAGTTAAATGTTGTAGCTTTTGAAAAAAAATAAATCTTTACTTTATTTTAACAAAAAGAATACAATTTTTACGCAAGAAACTGACATTTTTGAATTTTTGTCGTGTTTTTCAAACTTTGACGCCATTTTTTCGGTACAATTTCTAAAAAATGATTTTTGATACATATCATTATTGTCTCGTTAATTCTGAATAAAACGAGACCAATTTCATAAAAAAATTATGAAAAATGTTGAAGCTATAACGCTTTTCCCAAAACAAGTCAGTCCAATTTTGCTAGCGTTCCGAAGTAATATTGTGCCCTTCCATT